TGGTGAGGTGGTTAAGACATCAGGCTGGAAACAGCTGGACTATGAGTTCTATATACTCCCATCTTAGGCACAAAGTCATCTTGGTGACCTTGGGCCAGTCACTTTCTTTCTGCCCCAGGAAGGAGGCAAATGGCTGTGCATGTCTGAAAATCTTTGCCAAGAAAATTTCAGGTAATTTGTGAGAATTAGACACAATTGAAGGGAAGGGGGGAAAAAGGGATAGAGAAGAACCAGTCACTAGGAAAAGGGGAAAGCAAAGTATCAGGAAAAGCAGGCAGGTGCATCAACATCTTTACCTAGGCCTACTAAGAAGATTCCCGATTGACCTAAGCAACAGAGTAATTGAAATGTACCCAATTCACTTGGGAATGAGCCTCAATGAATACAGAACAATTTAAATTTTTGAGTAGGCATATCTGAATGCTGCTTATTTCATTGATCTCCTTTGACCTTTTTTTGTATACTTTGGGGGGAGGGCTGTATTATCCTTGTTATGCATGTTTTTTATTGCTATATTTTTTCTATAAATGCTTTCCTAAAACCACTTTTTCAGTATATTCTCTAAAAGACACAATCAGCTCATAAAATAGCAGATTTCCTGGTATAGTTTCACAGCATTATTGCAAAATGTTACGCTTTTTGTGTGCAGGAAACTAGCTAATTAGCTTCTTGTTGGCTTGAGAAAATAAAACGATGGGGTGGAGGGTAAAATGTTGCATTTTACAGAATCTGCCATTTTAATTCCATCTTCTGGCAAGCCAGCTACAAATGAGTGAAAACCCAAATATCAATATTCAAACCAATCTTGTCTCCCTTCCCAGCATATATTTTTAAATACCCCTTGCACCCTTTCCATACTTAAGACAAAATCCAGGCTACAATTTCAGGAGGGCCGTAACTTTTTATGATTTACTCATCGAGAAGCCGGAGAGCTGAAATGTAACCAATTCATTTATGAGCGACCCTTATGGATGCTGTGCAATTTAATTTTTGAGCTGTGCAAGCCCTTTCACAAGACAGTGATCTATCTATGAAGGGGTATAATTTTTAACATGGTTCAAAGTTCTCCTATGAGTACGTTTTGGAGATGGAAGTATATTCCCTTTGTTCATAGGGAGAAACTTTTGAAACCATCATACTTTCCTGTACGGTTTTATGCTGACCTCCGCCCTCGGCTTAATTAAACCGCCCACCTAAACCCAAATTCCCCGGTTATTTTTTATTTTATTTTATTTTTTTTGCAGTGATTATTTTCGGACTCAAAACGATTCTAGTCCTTGATACCAATTCAGGCACGGCGCACTGTGTAAGCTGCCCAAAATGGTTGGATCGAGATGCTTATCTAGTGAATGAATAAGATTTGCATATGTTTGCCCTGTCATGGATTACTGTCTATGAAAGAAGGCGCGGGATAAACCAGTTTTGGTGACTCGGGTTTGAAATAAATTCCTGCCTGCCCCCCCCCCCTTTTCACACATGTGTAGTCGTCCTCAGTCTTCAAATTTTTACTGACCGAAAGGGGTGTGGTGTGTTGTGGTGTGGTGTGGTGTGGTGTTCCCTTCCCTTCCCTTCCCCTCCACCCCACCCCCCCTACTCCGGCGTCCTTCTCTCTCCTTTTATGGAGCAGGCGCGCGCGCCCCCACCCCGCCTTTTCTCAAGGGAGTGACGCCAAATTCTCTATCTACAAATAGAGAGGAAAAGCCCTGGATAGAGAAATGTACGCTAACAAGTACGCCCCCCACAAACGATGGATTTAAAAGCAAGCCGAACCTTCAATCCTGAAGTTGCTAGTAAATGTACGACGCCTTCTTTTTCCTAATTTTAAGGGGGAGTGTTGCAATTTCCCCCTCGTCCCTTCTCTTGCTGTCGAATGAGCTCCTCCCCTTCCATTATGGGGGAAGAGGCTGAGCAATTACGGAAACGAGACCGGTGCTATTGTTCCACCCCCCCTCCCCCCCCCCCCCCCCCCCCCCCCCCCACCTTTGGTATATCTTGTTGATTCGAGGAAGCTAAAAATTAAAATGGCCCTTAAAGTGAGATAAAGAATTGAGGGAAGGAATCCGCACTGAACGATTTCAAGGACTCAGCGGTGCTTAGGAAAGTAGAAAACATGTCCGGAGCAACAGAGGAATTGAAATGTACCCAATTCACTTGGGAATGAATTTAAATTTTTGAGTAGGCATATCTGAATGCTGCTTATTTCATTGATCTCCTTTGACCTTTTTTTGTATACTTTGGAGGGAGGGCTGTATTATCCATCAAATTAAATTAAATCAAATTAAACTGAGATAAATCTTTCTCCCAGAAGCGTGGAAGATTTATGGCACTACTAAGTACAGTGTGTGTGTGTGTGTGTGTGTGTGTATATATGTGTGTGTGTGTGTGTGTATGTGTGTGTGTGTATATGTGTGTGTGTGTATATATATATACATATATACACATATATATATATATACACACATATATATATATACACACACACACATATATATATGTATGTATGTATATATATATATATATATATATATATTATATATATATATATATATATATATATATGCGCCATGTCTTTGAATGATGCGTGCGTGCACCTCAAGTTACTGCACTTTTTGAGATTCCTTTTAAAAGATGGTGGATTTTTAAAACAGCCCTGGAGAAAGTTACTGATTTAGAAACTTGTTATGGGAAGTGAGAAAAGCTCATTTAACCTGGTAAGCGTTCACCTTATTCACAAACTAGCTTTTGTACAAATCAACCCAATAACATTAGTTTAGGATTTACTATGGGTGGCAATACCTAGCTAGGCAAATTAGGTAAATTGTAGTTAAATGAATGCATATGAGAATATGCCCCCCCCACATTGTCTCTTGTACCTATCCATGCAGAGACGTGTCCTGCCAACTAATTTTCTCCCTTGTTTCAGCAAATGTCATATTGATTTAAGCACTGTGCTATTGAGCAGTGCAGAAAGGCATTTAGAATCTTAACTTTCATTAAAGAAATGGTTAAAAGAGTCACATAACTTTTGAAAGTGAAAAGTTAAGGAAAGTGGGGGGAAATGTAAATGAAGAAAAAAATGCAAAGAAGGTAAGAGAAAAGGGAAAGGAAAGGTTATAAAGGAGTAAATTCCCATCTTCTAAACATCAGTTACAAGTATATATTTTATCCACTCTCCCTAAAGGTATATAATTTATTTCCATAATGTATCATTTTTAATCATCAGATCCATAAATCATGAGGTTTGGGGGTTTTTTTAAGTAAAAAGTATATAAGGGGTTGCCATTCACTGTATGTAGTTATTGTCCTTTCTCTAAATTGATTTTGCCATCTTTACTAATTCTGTCACCTTCACCAGCCATTCCTCTGATATATTTCAGGATCTTTAGAATGGCTCTTTAGTGATATCAAATTCTGACATCTCTATAGCTAATGCCACTAATAACTTTTACACCTTCAGCCCAAAGCTGAGATAGACTTAAAAGCGTCCTTTGAGGTCCCTAAACCAAAATGGCATTCTCTTAACTGAGTCTATCTAAAGGCAGCCTGAAGATCTTTACACTTTCTGAGCCTTTATTGACTGTTACATTGGTGTTGTTTTTGCTGACACAAGGATGCTGAGGAAAGGGCTTAAGAGGACTCATTACTTTTAAGAAGAGACCAGTACAACATCTTGCTGCTACCAGCAGATATACTGGTAATAGCAAGAATTTCCTTTCAAATCTTTTTTACTTCTCATGCTGCTGTATAATTCTCACCATACATAGAGGAAGTATTCTTTTTGTTTTTCTATTATAAGTAGGCATGATTGAAACTCAGGTAAATGAAGATCATATTGAGGACACACTATGTGGTAGTTTTTTGACCGTAAAGGAGAAAGAGCATGTGGAGGGAGGTCAGAAAAAGTCAAGATGGCAACTATGATCATGCAATTGGACCCCCACTGCTTGTTTACCTGGATTGCATGCAACACATCTAAACAAGGGGTTGTTTAACCCCCACTCCAATCCCTGAGAATGCCTCTGAAAAATTACTTGTAGGGGTTTTTTCCCCTTAAGGGCTGCAGAGAGCCAAATGTAAACAACACACATGCATCCACACAAAACACATTATATTTTTGCTTTTTAGGCAGTTGGTGCCTTGAGGAGCTGTTACTGTGAAATCAGACTCAGCAGCCTGATTGTTCATCATGTGAGAGGTTTGTCCATTGATAGTAATCAGCCGATTTCCACATCTTGACGTGGAAGTTTGACGGTGCTAGTTTGACGTGCCAAGGCTCCTTTCAAGAAAGAGACTTTCAAGAAGCTGTTTCAATGGGATTATATTTTAATCCTGCCTTTATTTTTATATAAATAACTCAAGATGGCAAACACACCAAACATTTCCTCCTTCTATCCCCACAAAAACAATCTTGTGAGAGAAAGTGATTGGATTAAAGTCATCAGCTGGCTTTCATGCCTAAAGCAGGACTGGAACCCACAATTTCCTGGTTTCTAGCCTGGTGTCTTAACCAGTATTCTTACCCAAGCTAAAGAATGGTGCATTATGTTATTTTAGAATAATTAAATTATCTCATCTGTTCTGTGTTGATTTGCAGTGTACCTGTGCAAGAACTTTTCAATAGTGTGTATAGTACTTTGTGACTTCACTTTAGCCCCCATCCTGCTATGCTTTATGTTAAAATCCAGCATACCTAGATTAGATAGCTGTACTAGTTTGTGACACTCTATGTTGCTTGATTCAGCTGAAAACTATCCTAACATGAAAGTTACTGTCCCCATATTCTGCCTGGGCTGCTGGTGGATTTTTGACTTATCTTCATGGAAATGAATTACAAAGTTTAACAAATTTTATATATCTTGTATCTATGTATGTATCTTATGGTATATTGTATGGAGAAGAGTTTCTATACTGTTACAGGATATGAATAATTTAATATTCATAATTTACACATAATCTATGGAATACAAGGAAAACCTTAACATCAATACAAGTAATGCAAGTTAAGGCCAACTCATTTATTTGTTAAGCATACTTTTATGAAAAGCAGTCAAAAGGTCTCAAAGCATCATACATAAGAAAAAATAGAGTTGAAAACATAACAAAGGCAATGCCATTGGAATACAACAATAACATATTAGTAAGTAAGCACATGGCTTGAGTCCAAATAGTTAAGGTATGGAATAATATGGGTTGCAATTTTTGTTATTAGATTATCACTTGGAAAAAAAAACCTAGCATTTCCAAATATAAGATCACACAACATTATCAAATTTTTGAATATCTTCGTGTGCTGTTAAGCCTCAATGGGCAAATTATCCAATTTCAACCAAAACAAAACATATTAGGGCTTTGCAAGATATATTTAATTTAATTTAATTTAATTTATCATATTTCTATGCCTCCCAACTCCCAAGGGACTCTGGGCGGCTTACAGCAAAAATAATGTGAACAATATGAAGTTTTATGAAGATTTACTGGGATATAATTATCTTTTGTTATATTGATCGACTGAAGTATAAACCAGGCAACCAATTTAGCTTTTTCTGCCTCATGTTGTACAAACTCAGGAATTTGTGTTGAATACAGTAAACCACAAGTTAAAGTCTGGGAAAGTCAGACATTGTTTCCAGTGAGGTTTGAGCCTATGCAGGATTGCCCTTTAATGTTCTATTTGTAAGAGAATTCTCCAGATTTTGGAATTTCAGCACTGAGATATTGATCAAGTGAGTGGGTGGAGGTGTTGGTTAGATTTTAATATCATTGCACAAAAATCTAATCCTACCCTTAAAGTGCAAGCCCTAATAGATTTTAATGGAGTTTATTTCAGAGTTACACAGAATTACAGTGTTAAAATGTGAGGTGGACTGATCTGTCTGGGTATTATCTAAAGGCCCAGATAAATAGTCATAGTTTGCAACCTTGCAATGAAGTCTCCTGTGCTCAGATACAATCCCCACCCTTGCTTTGTGTTCTGAAACACTCTTTATTCCGTTCAAGAAAAAAATCAAGTTTATAAACTGGGCATCCTTCACTTTTAATCCAATTTTTTTTTTTTAAATCATGTGCAGTTCACAAAGGAATAGATGGTCAGATAGAACAAGGAAGAAGACAGCTGGCAGTGAGTCTTATTGGATAAGAAAGAGGGTTTCTTATCCAAATTAACAGGCAGCAACCTCGAGATAGGGTCTCTTCTTCAGCAGGGACTATTTTGCAGTTGACTATCTTACAACTAACTAACTTGCAAATAAGCTTGGTTTAATTGCTCCCTCTAGCAAGCGGAACTAATTTGCAATTGACTAATTGAAGTGACCCCACTCGCATTTTTTAAAGCCGTCTCGGAGAGGCGGCTTAAAACCCCCAAATGTTGCTCCAGCTAAGCTAGCGAACGTCAAAGGAGGCAGCGCAGCGCAGCGGATAAGCGCACCGCCTGGAATGATGAGAAGCTGACCAGCAGCGTCCCGAGCCCTCCGTTCCTAAGCGTTGTCCCTCTGTCGCCGGGCGAGGAACTGGACCACGCGGTTCTGCCCATTTTCTGCAGCCTCGTCGAGAGGGAGGCGCCCGTAATAGTTCGGCAGGTCCAGGCGAGCTCCCCCGGAGATCAGTACCTGCAAAGTATCCAGAAAGCCCTCGCGGGCAGCATCGTGGACCGGCAGGGAGCCGGTGGAAGGGTCCGGCACATTGGGATTCGCTTTTCTCTCCAACAACAGCTCAGCCACTTTGGGGTTCCCCAGTTTCATGACCTGGAGGGGGAAAGAAAGGAAAGGTGTTGTCAGGCGATCCCTGGCGCAACTCTCCATCCATGGTTTGGGCTTGTCCCCGAGAGCCGATTTCGAGCTTAAGTAAGCAAAAAGTATGGATTTAACCACAGCTGCGAGTTGATCCCTTTCTAGACACAGTCCTTCATTTTGAAGTTACGGCATCTCTATTCGGTGTGTGTGTAGGGGGGATCCATCATTTTGGCCGAAGGATCTGTGGAATAACTAGAAAATCCAGAACAGAGCAGGAGCATGACCAGAAGATATTCTCCGCGTTGACCCACACTCACAAAAAGCCCTTAAGGCAGAGATCACAACACAAAGACACCATCGCAAGAGATTCCAGCGTTGGGGATACTGTGTGCGCCTCAACCTGGCGAATTACTTCTCCGTGTAAGTAGGCAAGAGACAACCTCAAACCAATCTTGGCTGACCTCAAAAAGCTAAGAAGGAATGAAGTACCGTAGTTAATGCACGGATGGGAGACCACCAGGAAAAACCAAACAAACCTAGGGCTAGGGGCCAGACTAAAGCTGTGGCTGCATGCGACAGTGTGGAAAAAAACACTAGGCATTACGATTTGCATTACCTATACTGCTACTTGTTCAAGAAGGCAATCTATATATATAAAAGCGAAAACCACTCACACATTAATCACGAAATCTCCAGCACCGTAAAGCCTACAAGCTTGAAATTTGCCACGTATTTTCCTCTTGGTTTCTAGGTGCTCACTAAGAAAGGATTTTTCAAAATGACCATCAAAGCATTAGTATTTCCTATATTATTATAACAATATAATAGAGAAGGGGGATAGGAGAGGAACTATGGGGCCAGCCTGAGAGAGAGAAGGGGAGTGGAGGGGATCTATGGGGCCAGCCTGGGGGAGAGGAAAGGAGAGGAAAGGAGAGGCTTCTGTGGGGCAAGCCTGAGGAGAGAAGGGGAGTGGAGGGAATCTATGGGGCCAGCCTGAGGGAGAGAAGGGGAGAGGAGAGAATCTATGGGGCAAGCCTGAGGTAGAGAAGGGGAGAGGAGGGAATCTATGGGGCCAGCCTGAGAGAGAGGAAAGGAGAGGCTTCTGTGGGGCTAGCCTGAGGAGAGAAGGGGAGAGGAGAGGATCTATGGGGCAAGCCTGAGAGAGAGAAGGGGAGTGGAGGGAATCTATGGGGCCAGCCTGAGGGAGAGGAAAGGAGAGGCTTCTGTGGGGCTAGCCTGAGGGAGAGAAAGGGAGAGGAGAAGATCTATGGGGCAAGCCTGAGGGAGAGAAGGAGAGATGAGAGGCCGATCGTAACTATTCATTAATCTTCAAACTCTTAAGTATCGATTTATCAAGCCGGAGCACATAGTTTCGTAGCGAAGCACCGGCGTCCAGCTAGTAACAAATATAAAGACAATTTATACTTCTGCAGTGATCCAAGCTATGAAGTCTTATTTCTCAGCCAACAGATAGAGCATTGGGGCTCTGTTACCTTGTTGACATTTTGGATTACAAGTCAATGTTTTTATAGTCATGGATTAGGGGAGCTGCGGCCCATCTCCCAATAGGCATCGGTTAGCTGTTCGAAGCAACAGTTTGTAGTGCTAAACTAAAGCAATCCTGATACTTCCCAGCATAAATCTCCAAGGATGCTCAGGAAGGCCTTTGCACCCACTTGGGACTCGATTGACAGCTTCTCTATTCAAAGCCAGGCATTCCCTCTAAATGGGAGTTATGACGCACACCATTTTCAAATACTGTACCTATTTTAAGGTGGGGAAATCGCCGCGAAAAAACAAAGGAATGTCAGAACAAGTAATCGACTGGAAACACCTCCCTCCACGTGCGCGCAGGAGCGCACAAGTACACACACACACACACACACACTTTCCTCGGGACGGTAAATTGATGTCTAATACAAGATATCCACTGGTTTACATTTGAAGGATCAATGGCGTTGTGTTACTATCCGAGAAGTTTTCTGGGATGATCGCTTTTATTCCCTCTTGTCTCCCAAACTTGGAAGTAGGAGCAAGAAGCCTGGGCGTGGGAGGAGTAATAGGAGAAAGAGCCTTGATAGTACAGTGGTTTAGTGCACCCTGTTATTAACACAGCTGCCTGCAATTTCTGCTAGTTCGAATCTCTCCAAGGCTCAAGGTTGACTCAGCCTTCCATCCTTTCTAAGGTAGGTGAAATGGGGACCCAGTTTGTGGGGGCAATAAGTTGACTTTGTATAAAATATACAAAAGAATGAAGGCTATTGCTTAACGCATTGTAAGCCGCCCTGAGTCTCCGGAGAAGGGCGGCATATAAATCAAATTAAAAAAAATATATAAAAATAGACCGCTCAAAGCCTAACGTCGTTCAGAAAACTGGGAAGGAACCGTCGTCTAAACGACGTTAGGCTTTGAGAGGTCTATTTCTCCTCCCACGCCTCCTCCCCTCCTCCCTTCTTCTTCCTCGCCTATCCTCATTTCTCATTTCCACAAAAATCTCTCCTCCTTTCTCCAGTCCCCTCCACGTTCCGATCTAGGTGCGCTCAGGGGTTCTAGAGCGAGAGGGTTGCGCAACTTGCCCTTGGCAGAGATGATCGCCAAGCCCCTTTTACCGACTGGTATCCATTTTCTCTCGCCCCACCGACGTTTCCGAAAGCTTTCCCTTCGATGCTCAATTCGAGCCCCCCCCCCCCCCCCCCCCCCCCCCCCCCCCCCCCCCCGACACCCTCCGGAGGAAACGGGAAGTGCGCCCCCTCCCGCGCGCCCCGCAGAACAGCCGAAGCGAAAACCGAGCCCCGTCCACGCTGCGCGCACTTCTACCTGAATCGCGCTCCTGCCATAAACGTTAAGCCCGTTGGGGTCGGAGCCACCGTCCAGCAGCCTTCGCAGTTCGGCTACGTTCCCTTCCGCGGCTGCTCGGCTTAGCCGGTCGGATGGAGTCATTCTGCTGGTTGCCTTTATCGGGCGATGTACTGCTCTGAGGGCTTAGTGCCACTGGGCAGCTTATCTCCCCCTCTCCCGGCCCGGGTTTTGATCTGATTGGCTGAACTCTTACATCCACAACCCCCCCCCACTTCCCATAGGCACGCCTTAGAAACAGCAGCACACTAACTGAGTTTTTTTTTTTTTTTGCGGGGAGGGGTTGTAACGGAGGAAGTTAAAGACTACCCTCTTTCCCGCTGTCCCCCCCCCCCATCCCCGCCACCCCCGCTTTAATTTTGCGGCTCAGGAAACAGCAGCACGGCTGCTCTTGGCAAGCCCACGTGCCCTCTTGCACGTGGAAGGTCTGTAAAAACTAAGCTCCCCACCACCACCAGCAGGTGAACTCATATTCTTATAAATCCCCCTTCTTCCTAATTCCATAAATACGGAGGGTTCTTTTTTGTTGCTTGCTGCCTGTTCAACAAAGAAACAAACAATTTGGTTTGTTAAAATTTGGACTGGTGGGAGTCCAGGAAGAGAGGAGCACCCAGCCGTGGGGCTGATTATTTGGGGAACTCCTTGAAGATCCCCCTTTTAACTTTAAATTTTAATGACTCTTGTTTTAATTGCCTCTTAATATAATATTTATACACAGCTTTTATGTTTTTATCTTCTCCTTAAATGCCATCCAGATTTGCTCTGTGAGGGAGATGGATAGATAAATAGTTACTTTTTCACATGGACCGTAAGTAGAGCCTCTTTGGGTTCTGTGGTGTCAGGACATAATAAAAATCATCTGGTCCTTAGCAGTTTTTAAAAGCAGGTAAATACAACCTCGGATGAACAACAACATATGACATATTACACCATGTCACTATGTATTTTACAAAAAGAAATCCAAAATGGAGAAGCTGTGTGTGAAAAACTAAGCACACCCTTACTTCCATAGATATGCTTCCATAGGTATGAAGGTATGAAGAGGTGCTGCTAATCAAGTGCCCTTCATCAATTGATCATTATGACTTCCTCTATAAAAGCCAAATTTTAGGAGTTTGCTGGTCTCCAGCATTGAGGTTGTGTTAACAAAAGGGTTTCCTGCCTGGGCAGGGGGTTGGATTAGACTTCCAAGGTCCCCTCCAACTCTGTTATTGTGTTGAAACATCAGCAATGATCTTAGAGAAGCAACTGTTGCTGCCCATCAATCTGGGAAGAGTTATAAGATCATTTCCAAACAAGTTTAAGTCCATTATTCTACAGTGAGGAAGATTATTCAGAAGTGGAAAACATTCAAGACAGTTGCCAATTTTCCCAGGAGTGGATGTCCCAGCAAATTTACCCCAGACTGGGCAATGCTCAGAGAAATTGCAAAAAATCCAAGAGTTACATCTCAGACCCTACAGTTGGCATGTTAAATGTTCAAATTCGTGACAGTGCAATTGGAAAAAGGCTGAACAAGTATGATTTGCTCGGAAGGGTTGCCAAGGAGAAAGTCTCTTCTCTGTAAAAACAACAAGGCAGCACGGCTCAGGTTGCATCTGAACAAATCACAAGACTTCTAGAAAACTGATCTTTGGACAGATGAAACCAAAGTGGAGAAGTGTGGCCATAATGTACACGTTTGGTGAAAACCAAGCACAGTATATCAGCACAAACACCTCATACCAATTCTCAAGCACAGTGATGGCAGCGATAATTTGGGGGAGGGTGTTTGCAGCTACAGGATCTGGCACCTTGCAAGTTATTGAGTTGACCATGAACTCCTCTGTATACTAAAGTATTTGAGTCAAATGTGAGGCCATCTGTCCTACAGCTAAAGCTTGACTGACATTGAGTCATGCAACAGCACGATGAGCCCAAGCACACCAGGAAATCTGTAACAGAATGGCTGAATAGGAAAAGAATCAAGGTGTTGCAATGGCCCAGTCAAAGTCCAGACCTCAATCCAATTGAAATGCTGGGGCAGGATTTAAGAGACCTTTCCATAAACAAATGCCCCGAAATATCACTGAACTGAAGCAATGTTGTGAAGAAGAGTAAGCCAAAATTCTTCCACAACAATGTGAGAGGCTGAGAAAGTCATACAGAAAATGATTACTCCAAGTTATTGCTGCTAAAGGTGGAGCTACAAGCTATTGAATCATAAAGTGTACAGGTAGTCCTCAACTTAAAACAGTACATTTAGTGAGCGTTCAAAGTTAGAATAGCACTGAAAAAGGGACTTATGACCATTTTTCATATTTGTGACCATTGCGGCATCTCCATAATTTGTGATCAAAATTCAGATGCTTGGCAACTGATTCATATTTAAGATGGTTGCAAGGTCCTGCAGTCATGTGATCATTTTTTGTGACCATCTGACAAGCAAAGTCAATGGAGAAACCAGATTTACTTAACAACCTTGTTACTAATGTAACAACTGCAGTGAATCACTTAACAACTGTGGCAAGAAAGGTCATAAAATGGGGTAAAACTCAATTAACAAATGTCTCACTTGGCAATAGAGATTTTGGGCTGAATTGTGGTCATAAATTGAGGACTATCTGCACTTGGTTTCTCAGTTTTGGGTTTCTTTTGGTAAAATGAATGATGACATGGTGTCAGGTGTTGTTGTTCATCTGTTACCTTATTTTAAAAAGTGCTAAGGACCAGATGATTTTTTTTTACTATGTCCTGATGCGTAAAATCATAGAACTCAAAGAGGGTGTGCTTTCTTTTTCACATGACTGTAGATGTACTCAGCAACTACATGTGTCTGTTTGCACATGCTTCCCTGAATGAACACACATGCCTGTGTTCACATGACATTGGGAATTAAACTAATCATATTGGCTGGGGGGCTGCACCAAGAGAGGCTCATTCAATTTCATTGTACACATGTTGTGCATTGACAATAAAGGTTTGATTTGATTTGAAATTTCTCTGTTAGTGTGGTGCTTGATAGGAATAGGGCTGATCTGTCTCTTTTCTGAGAGCCAGGGGTTCCAGGGTTAAAAACTATTGGTTCACTTTCATCAAAGTTTCTTGCAAGAGCAATGCATCTAAACTGAGGCTCAGAAGGAAACTAGTCAAATTCAAGGGTGCTTCTTCCCACAGAAGTCAGGAAACAATTTTTTAAGTTGGTACTAGGGACTAACTCCAGGGCCCAAGAGTGGGGGTGGGTGGGTGACTTCCTCCTGTATTTATATTTATCTTCGCTGCTGGGGGGGCAGGGAGCTGCTCTGAGGTGGAGATGCCCAGAGATGCAAGTTCCTAACTGCAGAGCAAATCTGATCGACTTCTTTCACCTCCAAAGCATTCCCAAGACAATGAGCTGATGCATGGATTTCACTCATGAGATCTCAAAGCCAACTTCCATCCTTCCCACATCCTCTTCTGAGAAGCTTTTTTCTTCTGCTTCCAGTTAGGAAATCTAAGAATCTAAGACATGCTTGGCTCTCCACCAGTCTGAGTCAGCGAAGAATCAAGTGTCTCTAGAAGGAGCAGCAAATGAGCTCAGTAGCCACTCTTATGTTGATACAATTGGCTCGGCAAATAATGTACGTTTCTGTGAAGTAATGGCATAAGGAGGAGGACAATCAGTCCTGATCACAGTTGCTTTTTTTTTTTTACTTTTTGGGCTCCCGTGTTAGCACTGTAGAAAAAGAGCCATATTAGTCTGTGATGGCTAAAAATCAGGAGTCTGGTAGCATCTTTTCTCACTAATCAATGTTATTAAAAGGCATAAACTTTGATGAATGTTCCAAATCTTTTGCTTTTTAGTATAAATGGTTAATCTTGATGTATTGTTAGCAGTCAGAAAATCAACTGATGGAAATTAATAGGTGAAATTTTTATGGGAAGAAGAGGGAGAAATGGCTTTTCCTGTGTTTCTGCCCTTGTTCAATAGTATGGTAAGATACTGTTCCAATAGAAGAGAAGTAAGATACTCTATCTGGTGGTGGCAAATAGTAATAACATGGCTTCTGTGTTTTCTTAATATTCAGCCATTTTGTAATATTAAGAGGAAGGTTATTAAAAGCTGCAAGAGTGACAATCCAAACCGATTGAAGTATGTTGCCTTGAACTCAGTGGCCCCGTTCAAGAAATACATCTGAGTGTGCTTTGCTTAACCATGATTTATATGCTTTTGACATTTATATGCTTTATATAGAGCCTTGGTAGTACAGTGGTCTAAGGCACCCTGTTATTAAGCTGGTTATTAAGACCAGATGCCTGCAATTACTGCAGGTTCGAATCTCGCCAAGGCTCAAGATTGACTCAGCCTTCCATCCTTTCTAAGGTAGGTAAATTGAGGACCCAGTTGTGGGGGCAATAAGCTGACTTTGTATAAATATACAAAAGAATGAAGGCTATTGCTTAGCGCATTGTAAGCCGCCCTGAGTCTCCGGAGAAGGGCAGCATATAAATCAAATTTTTTAAAAAAATCGCTAGATTTATACATATGAAACTATCAGCCATGGTTCACAAACCATAATAACAGCTTTCAACTTACTCACAAAGTCGCAGACTTAACATGTGGAATGAACCCAACAGTGAGACAGACTTTCAAGTCAATTTTTGTGATTATAACATGACATTGTCACAGCTCCAGCTCTTAAAAATTTTTCTTCAGAGCTCTGTCTTAATGGTGACGTACTAAGGTTGACTTGAATTTTCCTCAGAACACACATACTGTATGATGAAATTGGATGCAATCCATAGAATTGTATAGTCACAGTCATAAATGGGTCAGTCTCTAAATTTCAAGACTCCTGTTTTTGAATGAACTAATGTACATTTTAATAATACTAGCAACTTTACTAATAATTAGTACTCATTTTAGTAATACTAACATATTTTACTAAGGACTTTTTAATTATTTTATTAGGCAAACTTAAGTACAGATACAAAACAATATTGGCTTTTGTATGCCTCTGAATTGATCTTTTGGTCTAGCTAGTTTGCATTTGCTAAGCCATAACATGATTCTTTCGTTTGGCTCTAAAGTGTTGTGTTTATTCCATCAATTCTGTTTATTCAAGAAAGTTGGGTCCTCTGCACCTTGTGTACCTGGTCGGCAGTTTCGGCTTGATGAGATCAAAGCATCCTCACTTC